CATGGACTCGGTTCACGTGTTGGAGATCTTGTTCATGTTCTTGTGTGAGTGTGTATGATATCAGTCTGTGTCTTTTCATGCATATGCATATGTGCATGCATGTGCTGGCTTACCAGCAATGATAGAACTGAAAGCCAGTAGCATAATAAATGTCATGGCTTTCAGACTGTGCTCTAATATAACTTAGCTCCCTGTGGTATACTAGCATATCAATGTGTAACACACATACGTTATGGCAGGGTGCATGTAAATAACTCCACTTCTATCTTTCAAACTAATTCAATGCTGGCCATATGTGAATTCATGCGATACGATGCCCTCCTTCTTCTCCTTCCTTTTCTTAATACTCCTTCACTTAACTCTCTCTCTTTCAGGAGGAAAGATTAGAGGAGCAAGCAAGCGAGAGAGAAGCCAAAGGTGACAGTAAACAGGGGCGGACACACACAGAGCAGGACTCCCTTATTTCTCTTCGTGCTGGTTTGGATGCTTGTAGTATGTATGAGAAGTTAACTATGCTGAACCTGCAGAGTGGCTCAAACTGGAGTGGGCCTAACAGCTGGTACCATGACCACACTGGCGTTCAGACACAACACAGCACAGGTGAGGGGAAACTTTCAGCACACGTCAGTGTGCACAGATCTTCAGCTAAATGTCAGCAAACCACATCAAAACTTAAAGTAGCTCAGGACTTGTGGCTGTCTCACCAACTTGTTAGTTCAAAGCATTAATCTCACAATGTGCTATTCTAAGATGTGATACACCTTTGGAGGAATTTTCATGATATTCACACATCTCTTCTGTCACCTTCTTCTGTGCCAGTGTCTGAAGGCTGTCTGCTGGACACGGAGGGCAGCATTGGGAGAGAGGCAGGGGTAGGAGGAGTGGGCAGAGGGGGCGGAGTCCCTGTGGAGCGGGATGAGGGTGAGGAGTCTCAGCTGAGGCTGCAGCTCAAGAGAAAGCTGCAGAGGAACAGGACCAGCTTCACACAGGAGCAAATTGAGGCACTGGAGAAAGGTCAGGCCATGCAAGCACACTCGGCGCTCTCCTTGCATTTCAGCCAATGGCTGTCCTCCAGATATGCCATGATGCAACTTGTCCTGCTGCTTTTGTCCTTTGCCAACTCCTTTGTTATTGGATCGTTATCTTTACAGCTTGTTTACAACTGTTTTGGTGAATGGCAGAAGGAAATATGAGAAATTGTAAATATTGCACATAAAAATCTGTCTTTTTATCAGGTATTTTGCATGGCTACTGACGGGATTTGTATCACTCCCTGTAAGGGAGAGCAAGCATGGCCACCTCTGAGCACTCCAGATGCAAATTATTCAAAATTTGAATACCCCAAATATCCCTGAACTGCTCCAAAAGGTTTCAGGCAGCATGTATGCCAGAGTTGCGATAATGCATTATCACTGTGGTTGTATTATGCAGCGAGATCTGGCCCTCGTAGACTGATATCCACTGAGAGGAATCAGAAAACCAACCTCGACTGGATATGGCTACAGCAGGTCCCTGATCTAAATATGGATGCATTGTCCACTGTGCAGCCGAGTGGAAATGTTTATCACTGTGGTCGCTCAGTGCAAATGACATTAATGAGGTACACTGACCTCAGTGATTGGCTAAGACACAATAATGTGTTAACACAGACGCCAATTATAACAATTTATGAGAGACTAAGACACAATAATGTGTTAACACAGACACCAATTATAACAATTTATGAGAGAGACTTAAGTTATCAGGCTGTCGTTTTCTCTGTACAACATGGATTTATTAATCACATGTTACAAGAGTGAACCTTAGTCTCCGGTTGTTTACTGCAATGGTAATCCTGTATTATACTCTCAAAAGTAGTTCTCTGTATTACATGTGATCACGACAACATTAACCTCTTTTTTGTTTTTCTGTTGACACATTATTGACATGCATCATAAAGGTAGACAGCCCAGCCTATATTATTATTACTAGACTTTCAGGGTGAATCAGACTGTCAGTTAGAGGGAGAGGCATATTCCTGTTATGACTTGTCACCAACAAAAATGTCAGCAGTTTGTCTTCTATAAATTATCTGCACAGTGAGAAATGATACTCTGAGACAAAACGTCTCTTTGGTATGAACAACTTCAGAATGAGGAATTAACTTGTATCAAGCCTCTGTATTCATACAGGAAGTGAGTATACCAGGTGGTTTTTCTAATTTAAATAAAGTATGCTAATAAATGAGACACAATGCCACTTTTACAAAACTAAAAGAGATAAATGATGACAAAATGAAAACATGCAGCATAAGGATGTTTCTATAGTTTAGTTTTAGTCACCTATTCTGAAATAAAGTGCTAAGACTCTCAACTGAATTTGAACTTTAGGCATGATCCATAATCATAAATAATTTATACAAAGTAAAACAGATAAATATATTTCAAATATGTTTGGGAGGATACATCTCCGCTTCCTGGATTTATTCACTGCATGGAAAGATAATTTGTTTTGTTTTTTAATATTAAGTAGCATTTATCTGAAAAAATGAACAGGTCATTAAAATTCATTTTTATTTGAATGTAAGTAAAGGATGAATATCCTTGACATGTAGACAGACAGATGCACAGGCAAATCCAAACTATGCTGTTAACACCACACAGTAAGGGTTATGAGGTGAGCTGCTCTCCAGAAGACCTGTCACACCTGATTGTGTCTCACACTGTGTTTTTGACATCAGTTACTATACTCCACAGAGTTTGAAAGGACACATTACCCAGATGTTTTCGCAAGAGAAAGGCTGGCAAACAAGATCGATCTACCAGAGGCCAGGATACAGGTAGCAACACGCAGCAGTCTTGTTTAAGTACATCAGTTTATACACTGTTACAAGAAAAACAGGCCTGACAGAAGTCTTTGACTGACAGGTGTGGTTTTCAAACCGAAGAGCCAAGTGGAGGCGCGAGGAGAAGCTGCGCAATCAGAGGAGGTCAGGGGTTGTGACTTCCTGTTCACAGAACCAAGCCCCGCTGACGACTTCCTTCAACACATCTGTCTATCATCAGCAGCACGGCAGCACTTCAGGTAAACACAGGTCACTTCACTACAAAATGTTTCATTCTTGTCACAGTTATTCTCTCATGCCAGTGCTCCTCATTAGCTTGTCCATGCAGCCCGTAGTTGTACTAGGAACCAAATTTTACATGTGGTGTCTATGATTTTTATATTTGGTGACAGAAATACAGTTTACTAGTTTATAAATGCAAACCTCAAAGCTCCTCTTGGCATTTTCTCCATTATAGTGCATCTATATTACAACATTTCCACTGCGAGATGTTCTCATCCTGTGTGTATGTGTGTGTGCTCACCATCTTGCTCTGTGTGTCTCTCTCCAGGATCCATGTTGAATCAAGCTGAGTCGTCCCTGCCCTGTTACAGCTCCCTGTCAGTGTTCTCATCGGGAGTCCAGGTTGGACATTCATCATTCATCAGTACCTTCTAAATGTTATCAAAGCAGGGCGTCGTCACAGAGCAGAGCATGTTCACTAGCTTCTTTACTCCAGAAAATAAGTAAAGAAATACCACTGCAGATACATTATCATACTACAAGTCTTACTACCGCTGCAGTGCTAACAATAATATTATAATAACAATAATGAATAAAAATAATAATAATGATGACGAAAAAACATTACCTAAATGTACAGTACAAAACAAAGCTGAAAAGAAAGAGGCAAATCGGAATTAACAATATTTATAACCAAATACTTTTTTCAGTTACTTTTTAAGCAAAGTGGTCAAACATTTGATGGTTCCAGTTTCTTAAATGTGAGAATTTGTTGCTTTTCCTTGTCATATATAACAGCAAATGAAATATATTTGGGTTTTGCACTGTTGTTTGGACAAATTCATAACTTTAAATGTCACTTTTTAAAAAATATTAATTAAGAAAACAATCAGCAGATGAATCGATCATCATTTGATGCAGCCCTGTGAGTTATATTTAAGTATGATATTGACTTTCATGAAGTGTCAAAAAACAATCATCTAATCTGAACTCTCTTTAGGCTTTATCACCCATTACTCCTTAAGATCAGCAATTGTAATCCTTCCTATTGATAATGGAAATTAAATAGTTCATTACAATGAAAAGCACAGTTTGTTTTCAGCAGACAACCCAATATTAGAGGCTGGAAGGGCAGCACTAACTTTATAAGTCCAATTTTAAACAGCGGATTTGTTCACAGTCTACGTATATAATAAGGTTTTACTGTGGGTGTGTGAATGACACAAAGAAATCTGTGGGGTCAAATAGGAGAATTAGCTGCTGTTAAAGAATGACCAGTACAATTATCCAATCGGTTTAAAAAGTAACTAGGTGCCTGCACAGCCTGGAGGCACTTTTGACAAATGCAGCAGTTACATTAGATATAACTGCCTAAATCCAGGCTAATAGTGTGACAACAATTTCAAATGACGCAATATACAGTGGGTACGGAAAGTATTGAGACCCCCTTAAATTTTTCACTCTGTTATATTGCAGCTATATGCTAAAATCATTTAAGTTAATTTTTTCCTCATTAATGTACACACAGCACCCCATATTGATAGAAAAACACAGAA